CTGAACCGTCATGACACCAGATCAAATGGCGTGTATGAACGCACCCAGTGAGTAGAAGATTAGTGACAGTGGAGACGCTTGCCCGGAAGCCAGTTTACCTACTGTCATTGGGGCTTCACTGGGACGCAATGCTGGATGGCTCAAGAGTTCTCCATTCACCTGAACATAGGAAAAGAACAGCCCTGCTGTATCAGACCAGTGGTCCATCTAGTCCAGCATCCTGTCTCACACAGTGGCCAACCAGTTCCTCTGGAGGGCCAACAACAGGGCATAGAGGCCGAGGCCTTCATGAGAACATAAGAAGAGCCCTGCTGTATCAGACCAGTGGTCCATCTAGTCCAGCATCCTGTCTCACACAGTGGCCAACCAGTTCCTCTACAAAGTTTTCAAAGTTCACCTCAGCAGAAAAGCAGTTGTGGAAAAGAGTTCCCTGCAGAAAGTTTGAGAACTTGCTGCCAAATGATAATAAAATTGCCTTTGCCAAAGAGTCCGTGTCAAAAAGGGGGGGGGAGGAAAAAACAGGGCATCACTTTTCAAACCCCTAACACCGTTTATGGCAAAGAAGGAGCTTTTAAAAGCGTTTTTGTTCTATTATTCATGACCAGATTTTGCCTGCCAGAGACACTTGAAAAACCGCACAGCAGAAAAGGCAAGAACACTGCAGCCCCAACAGCTGTTTCTGCATGGGGGATTCCCCACCATGGAAGACATAGGAACCCCCCACAGGAACATCCCTACAATGTCATGCTCATTCTGAGCACCACATCCAGTCTTCTGGGGGCTTTCTCCTATAATGGGGTTAAAAAAAACCCTTTGATTCCATTCAAACTGCAAAGTCGCTGTAGGTGGGACATCAGTTTGGACACTCTGCCCATCACTACCACGGGGAGAGGAGGAGCTATGTTAAAATGGTGTGGGGCAACTCACAATGGATTGTAATTCCTCTTGGGCCAAGCACACCCTTGGGCTTTCCATGACCAGCTGTGACCCCCACTGTGGGTTCCATCAGTGCAATTGGCACCAAGGGGAGATGAACTGCACCTTCCCCTCTTCCTACAAAATGTACAGGTCATGTCCATGCAGCCAGGGGCTCCCTAATACCAACGGGAACCTGGCGGTGGGGGTGATCACAAACGGACGTTCCTCCCGGTGATCCCCTGTCCCCACCTGCAATGGGACTGTCTCGAATTCACATGGCTCCTTCATCGTGGACCCATCCATTTGGGTGAAAATTAGGGGGTCTTGCAGTCTCACCACCCCCGCTTCTAACCCCGTTACTAAGGAGGGGTTAATGAGGTCCCTCCCTCACCCTGAGTCAATAAGGGCTCTCACACGAATGTGGGTTCCTTGGGTCGGGTTAATAATAGTCAGAGTCACGAAAAAGGGGGGGTAGCTGTGCACTGCTTTTGGCGCCTCCAGGATCGGGCCCTGCTGCTCCGCGCCGCTCATAGCAGGACCTGGCCTTTTCCCACCGGCTCGTTGCCTTCGTCCTCACTGGATTCATCCCCGATTTCTTCCAGGGTGACCTGTAGCGCTTTTGCGAATTTTGGTTTCCCCGCTGGCTTCTTCGCTGGTGTGCTTGGCCATGCCTTGGCTGGTTCCGATTGCGCCAGCTTCCCCGGACTCGATCCCCTGCAGTCGGCTGCGAAATGGGCCCGTTCCCCACACTTTAGCCAGAGCCCTTGTCTCATCCGTTGCTCTCTGGTAGACTCAGCCGGGTGTGCAGATTTCACCTTCAGTTGGGGGACGTTCGGTTTCCCCCCTGCTGCCACGATGTCCAGGCGTAGGGTGCTCAAGTGAGTCTCTGCACTCCCTGCTTCTTGCATCCACGCTGGGAGGGAGATTGGGTCCACTGCACGCGGGACTGTTTCGCGGATCCCTGGGTTCAACCCCACCCGGTGCCAGTAGCAAGCAGAGTGGGGACCGGGCACATGGGCATTCCCACCCATTCCCAAGTGCCTTGCTGCTACTGCTAGGGCTGCCAACCTCCAGGTGGGGCCTGGAGGCCTAGAGTTATTACTGATCTCGAGATAACAGAGATCAGTTCCCCTGGAGCAAATGGCTGCTTTGGAGGGTGGAGTCTATGCCATGATACTCCTCTGAGGTCCCTCCCTTCTGTAAACTCTGCATTTCCCAGGTTCCAACCACAAATCTCCAGCAACTTCCCAACCTGGAGCTGGCAACCCTCGCTACAGTCGTGGTGGGGATGTGCTCTTCACCCCCATGCAGGTGGAGGTGAAGGTATGGAGACCTTTGGAGACTATGGTCCATATTCAGCCCAACCTGGAGCTGGCAACCCTTGCTACAGTCGTGGTGGGGATGTGCTCTTCACCCCCATGCAGGTGGAGGTGAAGGTATGGAGACCTTTGGAGACTATGGTCCATATTCAGCAATCAACTTTGTATTTTCATTTCAGAGGCTTCGCAAAAACAGATCTTGTGTCATGAGGCTTTTGGTGGCTGTGTGTGAGACTGCAGCCGCTGGTCCAGGTTTTTGTTTCATATGAAAATAATATGAAGCTCAAATCATTTGGTCTGCCTCACTCGGCACCGTCTGGTCTGGCTGGAAATGGATCTCCAGGATCTAAGGCAGAGGTGGGCTCTCCGTCTTTGGAGGGTTTTGAACAGTGGTTA